ACTCCTAAGTGCACCACTCACCCTTTTCCCCTCATCAATTCTATGATTCACCTCATCTTTCATAGACCCATCCGCTGACACGTCCTCTCCCAAATATGTGAATACATTCACCTCCTCCATACTCTCTCCCTCCAATCTGATATCCAATCTTTCATCACCTAATTTTTTTTGTTTCCTCATACCTTACTCTTCCTGTATTCACTTATAATTTTCTTCTTTTGCACACCCTACCAAATTCATCCACCAATCTCTGCAACTTCTCTTCAGAATCTCCCAAGAGCACAGTGTCATCAGCAAAGAGCAGCTGTGACAACTCCCACTTTGTGTGTGATTCTTTATCTTTTAACTCCACAACTCTTGCCAAGACCCTCGCATTTACTTCTCTTACAACCCCATCTATAAATATATTAAACAACCACGGTGACATCACACATTCTTGTCTAAGGCCTACTTTTACTGGGAAATAATTTCCCTCTTTCCTACATACTCTAACTTGAGCCTCACTATCCTCGTAAAAACTCTTCACTGCTTTCAGTAACCTACCTCCTACACCATACACCTGCAACATCTGCCACATTGCCCCCCTATCCACCCTGTCATACGCCTTTTCCAAATCCATAAATGTCACAAAGACCTCTTTAGCCTTATCTAAATACTGTTCACTTATATGTTTCACTGTAAACACTCTAAACTGACAAATCCATTTGTTCTCTAGGCTTCCTCAACTTGTTAATCTCACTCCAAAACTTTTTCTTATTTTCAACAAAATTTGTTGATAACATCTCACCCACTCTCTCATTTGCTCTCTTTTTACATTGCTTCACCACTCTCTTAACCTCTCTCTTTTTCTCCATATACTCTTCCCTCCTTGCATCACTTCTACTTTGTAAAAACTTCTCATATGCTAACTTTACATCATCATTCCACCAATCGCTCCTCTTCCCTCCTGCACCCACTTTCCTGTAACCACAAACTTCTGCTGAACACTCTAACACTACATTTTTAAACCTACCCCATACTTCTTCGACCCCATTGCCTATGCTCTCATTAGTCCATCTATCCTCCAATAGCTGTTTATATCTTACCCTAACTGCCTCCTCTTTTAGTTTATAAACCTTCACCTCTCTCTTCCCTGATGCTTCTATTCTCCTTGTATCCCATCTACCTTTTACTCTCAGTGTAGCTACAACTAGAAAGTGATCTGATATATCTGTGGCCCCTCTATAAACATGTACATCCTGAAGTCTACTCAACAGTCTTTTATCTACCAATACATAATCCAATAAACTACTGTCATTTCGCCCTACATCATATCTTGTATACTTATTTATCCTCTTTTTCTTAAAATATGTATTACCTATAACTAAACCCCTTTCTATACAAAGTTCAATCAAAGGGCTCCCATTATCATTTACACCTGGCACCCCAAACTTACTACCACACCCTCTCTAGAAAGTTTCTCCTACTTTAGCATTCAGGTCCCCTACCACAATTACTCTCTCACTTGGTTCAAAGGCTCCTATACATTCACTTAACATCTCCCAAAATCCCTTTCTCTCCTCTACATTCCTCTCTTCTCCAGGTGCATACACGCTTATTATGATCCACTTTTCACATCCAACCTTTACTTTAACCCACATAATTCTTGAATTTACACATTCATATTCTCTTTTCTCCTTCCATAACTGATCCTTCAATATTACTGCTACCCCTTCCTTTGCTCTAACTCTCTCAGATACTCCAGATTTAATCCCATTTATTTCCCCCCACCGAAACTCCCCTACCCCCTTCAGCTTTGTTTCGCTTAGGGCCAGGACATCCAACTTCTTTTCATTCATAACATCAGCAATCATCTGTTTCTTGTCATCCGCACTACATCCAAGCACATTCAAGCATCCCAGGTTTATAAAGTTTTTCTTCTTCTCTTTTTTAGTAAATGTCTACAGGAGAAGGGGTTACTAGCCCATTGCTCCCGGCATTTTAGTCGCCTCATACGACATGCATGGCTTACGGAGGAAAGATTCTTTTCCACTTCCCCATGTACAATAGAAGAAATAAAGAAGAACAAAGAGCTATTCGGCCGCCTCCTACCAAGGCAGGGTGGCCCGAAAAAGAAAAATTTTCACCATCGTTCATTCCATCACTATCTTGCCAGAGGGGTGCTTACACTACAATTATAAACCTGCAACATTAACACCCCTCCTTCAGAGTGCAGGCACTGTACTTCCCATCTCCAGGACTCAAGTCCGGCCTGCCAGTTTCCCTGTATCCCTTCATAAATGTTACTTTTCTCACACTCCAACAGCACGTCAAGCCCTAAAAACCCCTTGTCTCCATTCGCTCATATATAACACGCTCACGCATGCTTACTGGAAATCTCGGCCCCACGCAAACAAAACCTCCTTTACCCTCTCCTTCCAACCTTTGCTAGGCCGACCCCTACCCCGCCTTTCCTCCACTACAGATCTATACACTCTCGAAGTCATTCTACTTCGTTCCACTCTCTCTACATGTCCAAACCATCTAAATAACCCTTCCTCAGCTCTCTGGATAATAGGTTTGGTAATCCCACACCTCCTCCTATTCTCCAAACTACGGATTCTCTGCATTATATTCACACCACAAATTGCCCTCAGACATGACATCTCCACTGCCTCCAGCCTTCTCCCTGTTGCAACATTCACAACCCTTGCCTCACACCCATATAAGAGCATTGGTATAACTATACTCTCATACATTCCCCTCTTTGCTTTAATGGATAAAGTTCTCTGTCTCCACAAACTCCTCAGTGCACCACTCACCTTTTTCCCCTCGTCAGTTCTATGATTCACCTCATCTTTCATAGACCCATCTGCTGACACGTCCACTCCCATATATCTGAATACATTCACCTCCTCCATAATCTCTCCCTCCAATCTGATATCCAATCTTCTATTACCTAATTTTTTTGTTATCCTTATCACCTTACTATTTCCTATATTCACTTCTAATTTGCTTCTTTTATATATCCTGCCAAATTCACCCACCAACCTCTGCAACTTCTCTTCAGAATCTCCCAAGAGCACAGTGTCATCCACAAAGAGCAACTATGACAACTCCCACTTTATGTTAGATTCTTTATCTTTTAACCCCACACCTCTTGCCAACACCCCGAGCATTCACTTTTCTTACAACTCTATCTATAAATATATTGAACAACCATGGTGACATCACACATCCCTGTCTAAGGCCTACTTTTACTGGGAAATAATCCCCCTCTCTTCTACATATTCTAACCTGAACCTCACTATCCTAGTAAAGACTCTTCACTGCTTTCAGTAACCTACCTCCTACACCATACATTTGCAACATCTGCCACATTGCCCCCCTATCCACCCTGTCATACGCCTTTTCCAAATCCATAAATGCCACAAAAACCTCTTTACCTTTACCTAAATACTGTTCACTTATATGTTTCACTGTAAACACCTGGTCCACACACCCCCTACCTTTCCTAAAGCCTCCTTGTTCATCTGCTATCCTACTCTCCGTCTTTCTCTTAATTATTTCAATAATAACTACCAGATACTTTACCAGGTATACTCAAAAAACTTATTCCCTTATAATTTTTACACTCTCGTTTGTCCCATTTGCCTTTATACAAAGGAACTATGCATGCTCTCTGCCAGTCCCTAGGTACCTTACCCTCTTCCATACCTTTATTAAATAAAAATGCTAACCACTCCAAAACTATATCTCCACCTGCTTTTAACATTTCTATCTTTATCCCATCAATCCCAGCTGCCTTACCCCCTTTCATTTTACCTACTGCCTCACGAACTTCCCCCACACTCACAACTGGCTCTTCCTCACTCCTACAAGATGTTATTCCTCCTTGCCCTATGCACGAAATCACTGCTTCCCTATCTTAATCAACATTTAACAATTCTTCAAAATATTCCCTCCATCTTCCAGATACCTCTAAATCTTCATTTAATAACTCTCCTCTCCTATTTTTAACTGGACAAATCCATTTGTTCCCTAGGCTTCCTCATCTTATTAATCTCACTCCAAAATTTTTTTCTTATTTTCAACAAAATTTGTTGATAACATCTCACCCACTCTCTCATTTGCTCTCTTTTTACATTACTTCACCACTCTCTTACCCTCTATTTTTCTCTCCATATACTCCTCCCTCCTTGCATCTCTTCTACTTTGTAAAAACATCTCATTTGCTAACATTTTCTCTCTTAGTACTCTCTTTACATCATTATTCCACCAGTCACTCTTCTTCCCTCCCACACCCACTTTCCTGTAACCACAAACTTCTGCTGAACACTCTAACAGTATATTCTTAAATCTACCCCATAATCTTCAACCCCATTGCATATACTCACACTAGCCCATCTGTCCTCTAACAGTTGTTTATATCTTACCCTAACTGCCTCCACTTTAAGTTTATAAACCTTCACCTCCCTCTTACTTGCCGTTTCCATTTTTCTTGTATCCCATCTACCTTGTACTCTCACTGTAGCTACAACTAAAAAATGATCTGATATATCTGTGGCTCCTCTATAAACATGTACATCCTGAAGTCTACTCAACAGCCTTTTATCTACCAATACATAGTCCAACTACTGTCATTACGCCCTACTTCATATCTTATATACTTATTTATCCTTTTTTCTTAAAATATGTCTTACCTATAACCAAACTCCTTTTTTATACAAAGTTCAATCAAATGCTGTTTATCATTTACACCTGGAACCCCTAACTTACCTGCCACACCCTCTCTAAACGCTTCTCCTACTTTGGCATTTAGGTCCCCTACTGTTATTGCGAACAAGCGATACACGATGCTAAACAGCCACAGGGGGAGTTGAATGATAGCTCTAGGCATTTCGTGTTGCAATCAACACATCATCAGTAGCTTGCAACTTTGCAAGTAGGAAATCCAGGAAGGTCCGTTCATGTGAATGCTTTTTAACGTGGGTGATGCCGAGGTAACGAGGTGCACTCACCTGCACGTCGAAGGGGAACATGCCCAGGTGGAAGTCGCAGGTGTAGGTGACTGTGTACACCTGTGTCATCTGCAGTGTGTTCTCAGACCCCTCGAAGATATCTCCTGAAAAGGATTTATTCTATTTATTAGTGCTCCTGAAGAAGAATTTTTGTTTATTAGTGCTCGTGATGAAGGATTTATTGTGCTCCATTAATTATCCTGAAGGAGGATTTATTGTGCTCCATTAGTTATCCTGAAGGAGGATTTATTGTGCTCCATTAGTTATCCTGAAGGAGGATTTATTCTGTTTATTAGTTATCCTGAAGATTTATTTTACTGTGTTCAATAAAGCATCAATTAATCTTAATCTTCATTCCCAGTCTGTCAGTTTATTATGAGAGGAATAATAAATAAAAAATGACCAATGTTCCGGGTAAAAAGAGGAATAGCAAACTTAGGATAAATAAGACGGATCAAAAACAATAATATATATATATATATATATATATATATATATATATATATATATTATATATATATATTATATATATAATATATATATATATATATTTTATTTTTATTATCACACTGGCCGATTTCCCCCCAAGGCAGGGTGGCCCGAAAAGAAAAACTTTCACCATCATTCACTCCATCACTGTCTTGCCAGAAGGGTGCTTTACACTACAGTTTTTAAACTGCAACATTAACACCCCTCCTTCAGAGTGCAGGCACTGTACTTCCATCTCCAGGACTCAAGTCCGGCCTGCCGGTTTCCCTGAATCCCTTCATAAATGTTACTTTGCTCACACTCCAACAGCACGTCAAGTATTAAAAACCATTTGTCTCCATTCACTCCTATCAAACACGCTCACGCATGCCTGCTGGAAGTCAAGCCCCTCGCACACAAAACCTCCTTTACCCCCTCCTCCAACCTTCCTAGGCCGACCCCTACCCCGCCTTCCTTCCACTACAGACTGATACACTCTTGAAGTCATTCTGTTTCGCTCCATTCTCTCTACATGTCCGAACCACCTCAACAACCCTTCCTCAGCCCTCTGGACAACAGTTTTGGTAATCCCGCACCTCCTCCTAACTTCCAAACTACGAATTCTCTGCATTATATTCACACCACACATTGCCCTCAGACATGACATCTCCACTGCCTCCCAGCCTTCTCCTCGCTGCAACATTCATCACCCATGCTTCACACCCATATAAGAGCGTTGGGTTAAAACTATACTCTCATACATTTCCCTCTTTGCCTCCAAGGACAAAGTTCTTTGTCTCCACATACCCCTCCTAAGTGCACACTCACTGTCTTTTTTCCCTCATTTTAATTCTATGATTCACCTCATCTTTCATAGACCCATCCGCTGACACGTCCACTCCCAAATATCTGAATCATTCACCTCCTCCATACTCTCTCCCTCCAATCTGATATTCAATCTTTCATCACCTAATCTTTTTGTTATCCTCATAACCTTACTCTTTCCTGTATTACCTTTATTTTCTTCTTTTGCACACCCTACCAAATTCATCCACCATATCTCTATATTTCTTCATAATCTCCAAGACACATGTCATCAGCAAAGAGAGTTACATACTCACTTTGTTGTGAATATCTTTATCTATTATTACTACTTTGCAATGATTGATTTACTTCTATTAAACCATTCTATAAAATATATATAACATACCACGGATGACTCACACATCCTTGTCTACAGAGGCTCTTTTACTGGAAAAAATTTCCCTCTTTCCTACATACTCTAACTTGGAGTCAACTCGTAAAATCTGTCACTGCTTTCAGTATACCACCTGTTACTACCATAACTGGGAACATTGCCACATTGCCCCCCTAACTCCACCTGTCATTCGCCTTTTTTCAAATCCTAAATGCCACAAAGACTCTTTAGCTTATCTAAACTGTTCATTTACATGTTTCACTGTAAACACCTGGTCCACACACCCCCTACCTTCTAAATCTCTTTATCTCACCATATTCTCCGTCTTATCTTAATTCTAAATAACTCTACCATACACTTACCAGGTACACTCAACAGACTATCCCCCTATAATTTTTCACTCTCTTTTATCCCCTTTGCCTTTGTACAAAGGAACTATGCATGCTCTCTGCCAATCCCTAGGTACCACCCTCTTCCATACATTTATTAAATAATTGCACCAACCACTCAAAACTATTCCCCACTGCTTTAACATTTCTATCTTTATCCCATCAATCCCGGCTGCCTTACCCCTTTCATTTTACCTACTGCTCACGAACTTCCCCACACTCACAACTGGCTCTTCCTCACTCCTACAAGATGTTATTCCTCCTTGCCCTATACACAAAATCACAGCTTCCCTATCTTCATCAACATTAACAAATTCCTCAAAATATTCCTTCCATCTTCCCAATACTCTAACTCTCCATTTAATAACTCTCCTCTCCTATTTTTAACTGACAAATCCATTTGTTCTCTAGGCTTCTTAAACTTGTTAATCTCACTCCAAAACTTTTTCTTATTTTCAACAAAATTTGTTGATAACATCTCACCCACTCTCATTTGCTCTCTTTTTACATTGCTTCACCACTCTCTTAACTTCTCTCTTTTTCTCCATATACTCTTCCCTCCTTGCATCACTTCTGCTTTGTAAAAACTTCTCATATGCTAACTTTTTTCCCTACTACTCTCTTTACATCATCAATTCCACCAATCGCTCCTCTTCCCTCCCACCCACTTTCCTGTATCCACAAACTTCTGCTGAACACTCTAACACTACTTTTTAACCTACCCATACCTCTTCGACCCATTGCCTATGCTCTCATTAGCCCATCTATCTCCAATAGCTGTTTATATCTTACCCTAAACTGCCTCCTCTTTTAGTTTATAAACCTTCACTCTCTCTTCCTGATGCTTCTATTCTCCTTGTATCCCATCTACCTTTTACTCTCAGTGTAGCTACAACTAGAAAGTGATCTGTATATCTGTGGCCCTCTATAAACATGTACATCCTGAAGTCTACTCACAGTCTTTTATCTACCAATACATAATCCAACAAACTACAGTCATTTCGCCCTACATCATATCGTGTATACTTATTTATCCTCTTTTTCTTAAAATATGTATTACCTATAACTAAACCCCTTCTATACAAAGTTCAATCAAAGGGCTCCATTATCATTTACACCTGGCACCCCAAACTTACCTACCACACCCTCTCTAAAAGTTTTCTCCTACTTTAGCATTCAAGTCCCCTACCACAATTACTCTCTCACTTGGTTCAAAGGCTCTATACATTCACTTAACATCTCCCAAATCTCTCTCTCTCTCTGCATTCCTCTCTCTCCAGGTGCATACACGCTTATTATGACCCACTTCTCGCATCCACCTTTACTTTAATCCACATAATTCTTGAATTTACACATTCATATTTCTTTTCTCCTTCCATATATATATATATATATATATATATTTTAAAATATATATATATATATATATATATATATATTTTTATTTATTATTTTTTTTTTATCACACTGGCCGATTCCCACCAAGGCAGGGTGGCCCGAAAAAGAAAAACTTTCACCATCATTCACTCCCTCACTGTCTTGCCAGAAGGGTGCTTTTCAAATACAGTTTTTAAACTGCAACATTAACACCCCTCCTTCAGAGTGCAGGCACTGTACTTCCATCTCCAGGACTCAAGTCCGGCCTGCCGGTTTCCCTGAACCCCTTCATAAATGTTACTTTGCTCACACTCCCAAAAGCACGTCAAGTATTAAAAACCATTTGTCTCCCTTCACTCCTATCAAACACGCTCACGCATGACTGCTGGAAGTCTAAGCCCCTCGCACACAAAACCTCCTTTACCCCCTCCCCCAACCTTTTCTAGGCCGACCCCTACCCGCCTTCCTTCCACTACAGACTGATACACTCTTGAAGTCATTCTGTTCGTCCATTCTCTCTACATGTCCGAACCACCTCAACACCCCTTTCCCCAGCCCTCTGGGACAACAGTTTTGGGAATCCGCACCCCCTCCTAACTTCCAAACTACGAATTCTCTGCATTATATTCACACCACACATTGCCCTCAGACATGACATCTCCACTGCCTCAAGCCTTCTCCTCGCTGCAACATTCATCACCCATGCTTCACACCCATATAACAGCGTTGGTAAAACTATACTCTCATACATTCCCCTCTTTGCCTCCAAGGACAAAGTTCTTTGTCTCCACAGACTCCTAAGTGCACCACTCACTCTTTTCCCCTCATCAATTCTATGATTGGTAGGTAAGACACAAAGGCAACAGTTAGTCTTACCTACCAACCTGTCGGTATTTTATACCATTTTGATGTTCAATTCTATGATTCACCTCATCTTTCATAGAACCATCTGCTGACACGTCCACTCCCAAATATCTGAATACATTCACCTCCTCCATACTCTCTCCCTCCAATCTGATATCCAATCTTTCATCACCTAATCTTTTTGTTATCCTCATAACATTACTCTTTCCTGTATTCACCTTTAATTTTCTTCTTTTGCACACCCTACCAAATTCATCCACCATATATTTATAAAATATATATATATAATATATTTTATATTTATATATTATATTATAATATATATATATATATATATATATTTATATATATATATATATGTATATATATATAAAATATATATATATATATATATATATATATATATATATATATATATTTTTTATATATAAAATACGCTATATAAATACACTGTGTCATGTTTTAAACTCGTCGTATCATGAGAGGTCAAATTTTGATCCTAGAAAGAGCATTAGGAGCCGTTTTACCAGCATGAGGTCACCCACTTGAAGCAAGGTCAATGTAACATGGTCAGCATCTCGTAAGGTCAAATGGAGGTCACCCTAAGTTACTTACTTTCTTCTGGAAGGTCAGGAGGGCCAATGTGAGGTTGACCCTCCCTCAGGCACTCGATCCTGGCTCCTTCCTCCAGGTTGCTGTAAACATTGCCGTGAGCATTCCTGAAGAAGATTTTCGGTGTCCAGATCGCTAGCGCCACCTCTCTGGACAGCAAGTTGAGGCTGCTGTCTGATTTCAAGTTCAGGAACTTGAGTCGGCTGTCTCTCCAGGCCAGGCTAAGGTGCAGCTTCACCGCAAAATCCTGAGCATTAGTCACAATTGAGGGGAAAGTGACCACATCGATCGAGAAATGGATTGGCAGCGGTTCCGCTTGTGACGGCGGCGGTAAAGTTGCCCTATAACCAACCGGTATCACCACCAGCGAGCAGTTCACTTCGTCGCTCTGGTCGGCGCAGTCTTCGCGCATATCGCACCTCTGCTCGAAGGCTATGCAGGTACCGTCGGCACAGGTGAACTGGCCACGGCCGCACACGGAGAGCGTCATGTTGACCACCTGGCCACTGCGTAAACCACAAGTGTCCCACCCCAGCGTCCACGGCTTCGTGCCGAAGGGATATTCGTCAGCCGTGATGGGTTTCCAGCGAGCTACAGCTCCTGACACCTGTAGGGAGATTATTATTATTATTATTATTATTATTATTATTATTATTATTATTGCTGTTATTATCATTAGTAGTAATAGTATGCTGCCAAAATTTATTATGATTTATTATTCTTATTCTTCATTATAATTTATTACACACTGTACCTTGAGAGAGGTCACAGCAGTATATACACTGTACCTTGAGAGAGGTCACAGCAGTAAAACTGTACCTTGAGAGAGGTCACACTATATATACACTGTACCTTGAGAGAGGTCACAGCAGTATATACACTGTACCTTGAGAGAGGTCACAGCAGTATATACACTGTACCTTGAGAGAGGTCACAGCAGTATATTTCACTGTACCTTGAGAGAGGTCACAGCAGTATATACACTGTACCTTGAGAGAGGTCACAGCAGTATATACACTGTACCTTGAGAGAGGTCACAGCAGTATATACACTGTACCTTGAGAGAGGTCACAGCAGTATATACACTGTACCTTGAGAGAGGTCACAGCAGTATATACACTGTACCTTGAGAGAGGTCACAGCAGTATATACACTGTACCTTGAGAGAGGTCACAGCAGTATATACACTGTACCTTGAGAGAGGTCACAGCAGTATATACACTGTACCTTGAGAGAGGTCACAGCAGTATATACACTGTACCTTGAGAGAGGTCATAGCAGTATATACACTGTGCCTTGAGAGAGGTCACAGCAGTATATACACTGTACCTTGAGAGAAGTCACAGCAGTATATACACTGTAATATGAAGGAGGCCACAGCAGCATATACACTGTACCTTGAGAGAGGTCACAGCAGTATATACACTGTACCATGAAGGAGGTCACAGCAGTATATACACTGTACCATGAAGGAGGTCACAGCAGTATATACGCTGTACCTTGAGAGAGGTCACAGCAGTATATACACTGTACCTAGAGAGAGGTCACAGCAGTATATACACTGTACCTTGAGAGAGGTCACAGCAGTATACACACTGTACCTTGAGAGAGGTCACAGCAGTATATACACTGTACCTTGAGAGAGGTCACAGCAGTATATACACTGTACCTTGAGAGAGGTCACAGCAGTATATACACTGTACCTTGAGAGAGGTCACAGCAGTATATACACTGTACCTTGAGAGAGGTCACAGCAGTATATACACTGTACTTGAGAGGGTCACAGCAGTATAAACCCATGTACCTTAAGAGAGGTCACAGCAGTATATACACTGTACCTTGAGAGAGTCACAGCAGTATATACACTGTACCTTGAGAAGGTCACAGCAGTATATATCACTGTACCTTGAGAGAGGTCACAGCAGTATATACACTGTACCTTGAGAGAGGCAAGTAGTAATACACTGTACCTTGAAGGAGGTCACAGCAGTATATACACTGTACCTTGAGAGAGTCACAGCAGTATATACACTGTGCCTTGAGGAGGTCACAGCAGTATATACACTGTACCTTAGAGGGGTCATAGAGTATATACACTGTACCTTGCGAGAGGTCACAGCATTTATATACACTGTACCTTGAGGAGGTCACAGAAAGTAAATACACTGTACCTTGAGAGAGGTCACAGCAATATACACACTGTACCTTCAGAGAGGTCATAGTAGTATGTACACTGTACCTTGAGAGAAGTCACAGCAGTATATACACTGTACCTTGAGGGAGGCCACAGCAGTATATACACTGTACCTTGAGAGAGGTCACAGCAGTATATACACTGTACCATGAACGAGGTCACAGCAGTATATACACTGTACCTTGAGAGAGGTCACAGCAGTATATACACTGTACCTTGAGAGAGGTCATAGTAGTATATACACTGTACCTTGAGAGAGGTCACAGCAGTATATACACTGTACCTTGAGGGAGGTCACAGCAGTAAATACACTGTACCTTGAGAGAGGTCACAGCAGTATATACACTGTACCTTGAGAGAGGTCATAGTAGTATATACACTGTACCTTGAGAGAGGTCACAGCAGTATATACACTGTACCTTGAGGGAGGCCACAGCAGTATATACACTGTACCTTGAGAGAGGCCATAGCAGTATATACACTGTACCTTGAGAGAATTCATAGCAGCATATACACTGTACTTTGAGAGAGGTCACAGCAGTATATACACTGCACCTTGAGAGAGGTCACAGCAGTGTACATACTGTACCTTGAGAGAGGTCATAGCAGTATATACACTGTACCTTGAGAGAGGTCACAGCAGTATATACACTGTACCTTGAGGGAGGTCACAGCAGTATATACACTGTAACTTGAGAGAGGTCACAGCAGTATATACACTGTACCTTGAGAGAGGTCATAGTAGTATATACACTGTACCTTGAGAGAGGTCACAGCAGTATATACACTGTACCTTGAGGGAGGCCACAGCAGTATATACACTGTAACTTGAGAGAGGTCACAGCAGTATATACACTGTACCTTGAGAGAGGTCACAGCAGTATATACACTGTACCATGAACGAGGTCACAGCAGTATATACACTGTACCTTGAGAGAGGCCCAAGCAGTAAATACACTGTACCTTGAGAGAGGTCACAGCAGTATATACACTGTACCTTGAGAGAGGTCATAGCAGTATATACACTGTACCTTGAGAGAGGTCATAGCAGTATATACACTGTACCTTGAGGGAGGTCACAGCAGTATACACACTGTACCTTGAGAGAGGTCACAGCAGTATATACACTGTACCTTGAGGGAGGTCATAGCAGAATACACCCTGTTCCTTGAGAGAGGTCACAACAGTATATACACTGTACCTTGAGGCAGATCACAGCAGTATATACACTGAACCTTGAGGCAGATCACAGCAGTATATACACTGTACCTTGAGAGAGGTCAAAGCAGTATATGCACTGTACCTTGAGAGAGGTCACAGCAGTATATATACTGTACCTTGAGAGAGGTCACAGCAGTATATACACTGTACCATGAAGGAGGTCACAGCAGTATATACACTGTACCTTGAGAGAGGTAAATAGCAGTATATACACGTAATTTTGAGAGGCACAGCAGTATATAACTGTACCTTGAGAGAGGCCACAGCAGTATATACACTGTACTTGAGAGAGGCCATAGTTATATACACTGAAACCTTGAGAGGCCATAGCAGTATATACACTGTACTTGAGAGAGGTCATAGCAGTAAAATACACTGTACCTTGAGAGAGGTCATAGCAGTATATACACTGTCCCTTGAGAGAGGTCCAGCAGTATATACACTGTACCTTGAGGGAGGTCCTAGCAGTAATACACTGTACCATGAGAGAGGTCACAGCAGTATATACACTGAAACCTTGAGGAGGTCATAGCAGTATATACACTGTACCTTGAAGGAGGTCATAGCAGTATATACACTGTCCCTTGAGGGAGGTCATAGCAGTATTACCTTTACTTGAAGAGGTCATAGCAGTATATACTGTACCATGAGGAGGTCATAGAAGCATATACACTGTCCCTTGAGGAGGTCATAGCAGTATATACACTGACCTGAGGAGGTCATAGCAGTATTTACACTGTTCCTTGAGGAGGTCATAGCAGTATATACACTGTACCATGAAGGAGGTCATAGAAGTATATACACTGTACCTTGGGGGAGGTCATAGCAGTATATACACTGTACCTTGAAGGAGGTCATAGCAGTATATACACTGTACCTTGAGGGAGGCCATAGCAGTATATACACTGTAACTTGAGGGAGATCATAGCAGTATATACACTGTACCTTGAGGAGAGGTCAAGCAGTATATACACTGTCCTTGAGGAGGTCAAGCAGTATATTACACTGTCCTTGAGGGAGGTCATAGCAGTATATACACTGAAACTTGAGGAGGTCATAGCAGTATATACACTGTACCTTGAGGAGGTCATAGCAGTATATACACTGTACCTTGAGGGAGGTCATAGCAGTATATACACTGTACCTTGAGGGAGGTCATAGCAGTATATACACTGTACCTTGAGGGAGGTCATAGCAGTATATACACTGTACCTTGAAGAGGTCATAGCAGTATATACACTGTACATTGAGGGAGGTCATAGCAGTATATACACTGTACCTTGAGGAAGGTCATAGCAGTATATACACTGTACCTTGAGGGAGGTCATAGCAGTATATACACTGTACCTTGAGGAGGTCATAGCAGTATATACACTTACTTGAAGAGTCAAGTATATCACTACTTGAGGGGGTCATAGCAGTATATACACTGTACCTTGAGAAGGTCATAGCAGTATATACCTGTTACCTTGAGGGAGGTCATAGCAGTATATACCAAACTGTCACAGCTCCTGATGGGGAGGTCATAGCAGTATATACACTGTACCTTGAAGAGGTCATAGCAGTATATACACTGTACCTTGAGGGAGGTCATAGCAGTATATACACTGTACCTTGAGGAAGAGGTCACAGCAGTATATACACTGTACCTGAGGAGGTCATAGCAGTATACACACTGTACCTTGAGGGAGGTCATCAGCAGTATATACACTGTACCTTGAAGAGGTCATAGCAGAAATATACATGTACCTTGAGAGGATGCATAGCAGTATATACACTGTACCTTGAGGGAGGTCACAGCAGTATATACACTGTACCTTGAGAGAGGTCACAGCAGTATATACACTGTACCTTGAAGAGGTATCAGCAGTATACACTTACCTTGAGGGAGGTCACAGCAGTATAAAACACTGTACATTGAGGAGGTCACAGCAGTATATACACTGACCTTGAGGCAGGTCATAGCAGTATATACACTGTACCTTAAAGGGGAGGTCACAAGCAGTATATACACTGTACCTTGAAGAGGCATAGCAGTATATACACTGTACCTTGAGAGAGGTCCATAGCAGTAATAGCACTGTACCATTGAAGGAGGTCATAGCAGTATATACACTGTACCTTGAGGGAGGTCATAGCAGTATATACACTGTACCTTGAGGAGGTCATAGCAGTATATACACTGTACCATGAAGGTCATAGCAGTATATACACTGTACTTGAGGAAGGTCATAGCAGTATATACACTGTACCTTGAGGAGGGTCATAGCAGTATATACACTGTACCTTGAGGGAGGTCATAGCAGTATTACAACTGTACCTTGAGGGAGGTCATAGCAGTATATACACTGTACCTTAAAGGAGGTCATATGCAGTATATACACTGTACCTTGAGGAGGTCATAGCAGTATATCATGTACCATGAAGAGGTCATAGCAGTATATACACTGTCACCTTGAGGGAGGTCATAGCAGTATATACACTTTACCTTGAGGAGGTCATAGCATTTATATACACTGTACCTTGAGGGGAGGTCATAGCAGTATATACACTGTACCTTGAGGAGGTCATAGCAGTATATACACTGTACCTTGAGGGAGGTCATAGCAGTACATACACTGTACCTTGAGGGGCCCATAGCAGTATATTACACTGTACTTGAGGAGGTCATAGCAGTATATACACTGTACTTGGGGAGGTCATAGCAGATATACACTGTACCTTGAGGAGGTCATAGCAGTTATACACTGTACCTTAAAGGGAGGTCCATAGCAGTATATACACTGTAACTTGAGGGAGGTCATAGCAGTATATACACTGTACCTTGAGGGAGGTCATAGCAGTATATACACTGTACCTTGAGGGAGGTCATAGCAGTATATACATTTGTACCTTGAGGAGGTCATAGCAGTATATACACTGTACCTTGAGGGAGGTCATAGCGGTATATACACTGTACATTGAGGGAGGTCATAGCAGTATATACACTGTACCTTGAGGAGGTCATAGCAGTATATACACTGTACCTTGAAGGAGGTCATAGCAGTATATACACTGCACCTTGAGGGAGGTCATAGCAGTATATACACTGTACCTTGAGGGAGGTCATAGCAGTATATACACTGTACCTTGAAGAAGGTCATAGCAGTATATACACTCCTGAGAGGTCATAGCAGTATACACACTGTACCTTGAGGGAGACCATAGCAGTATATACATTGTACCCTGAGGGAGGTCATAGCAGTATATACACTGTACCTTGAGGGAGGTCATAGCAGTATATACACTGTACCTTGAGGGAGGTCATGGCAGTATATACACTGTACCTTGAGGGAGGTCATAGCAGTATATACACTGTACCTTGAGGGAGGTCATAGCAGTATATAACTGTACCATGAAGGAGGTCATAGCAGTATATACACTATACCATGAAGAAGGCCACCGCAGTATATACACTGTACCATGAGGGAGGTCATAGCAGTATATACACTGCACCTTGAGGGAGGTCATAGCAGTATATACACTGTACCTTGAGAGAGGTCATAGCAGTATTACACTGTACCTTGAGGAGGTCATTAGCAGTATATACACTGTCCCTTGAGGAGGTCATAGCAGTATATACACTGTTCCTTGAGGGAGGTCATAGCAGTATATACACTGTACCTTGAAGGAGGTCATAGCAGTATATACACTGTACTTTGAGGGAGGTCATAGCAGTATATACACTGTACCTTGAGGGAGGTCATAGCAGTATATACACTGCACCTTGAGGGAGGTCATTGCAGTATATACACTGCTCATTGAGGGAGGTCATAGCACTATATACACTGTACCTTGAGGGAGGTCAAAGCAGTATATACACTGTACCATGAAGAAGGTCATAGCAGTATTTACACTGTACCTTGAGAGAGGTCATAGCAGTATATACACTGTACCATGAGGGAGGTCATAGCAGTATATACACTGTACCTTGAAGGAGCTCATAGCAGTATATACACTGTACCTTGAGGGAGGTCATAGCAGAATATACACTGTACCTTGAGGGAGGTCATAGCAGTATATACACTGTACCATGAAGCAGGTCATAGCAGTATATATACTGTACCTTGAGACAGGTCATAGCAGTATATACACTGTACCTTGAAGGAGGTCATAACAGTATATACACTGTACCTTGAGGGAGGTTATAGCAGTATGTACACTGCACCTTGAGAGAGGTTATAGCAGTATATACACTGTACCTTGAGGGAGGTCATAGCAGTATATACACTGTACCTTGAGGGAGGTCATAGCAGTATATACATTGTACCTTGAGGGAGGTCATAGCAGTATATACACTGTACTTCGAGGGAGGTCATAGTAGTATATACACTGTTACTTTTGGGGAGGTCATAGCAGGATTTTACACTGCACCTTGAGGGAGGTCATAGCAGGATATACACTGCACCTTGAGGGAGGTCATAGCAGTATATACACTGTACTTCGAGGGAGGTCATAGTAGTATATACACTGTACCTTGAGGGAGGTCATAGCAGGATATACACTGCACCTTGAGGGAGGTCATAGCAGTATATACGCTGTACCTTGAGGGAGGTCATAGCAGTATATACACTGCACATTGAGGGAGGTCATAGCAGTATATACGCTGTACCTTGAGGGAGGTCATAGCAGTATATACACTGTACCATGAAGGAGGTCATAGCAGTATATACACTGTACCATGAGGGAGGTCATAGCAGTATATACACTGTACCATGAAGGAGGTCATAGCAGTATATACACTGTACCATGAAGGAGGTCATAGCAGTATATGCACTGTACCTTGAGGGAGGTCATAGCAGTATATTCACTGTACCATGAAGGATGTCATAGCAGTATATACACTGTACCTTGAGGGAGATCATAGCAGTATATACACTGTACCTTGACGGAGGTCATAGCAGCATATACACTGTACCTTGAAGGAGGTCATAGCAGTATATACACTGTACCTTGAGGGAGGTCATAGCAGTATATACACTTTACCTTGAGAGAGGTCATAGCAGTATATACACTGTACCTTGAGGGAGGTCATAGCAGTATATTCACTGTACCTTGAGGGAGGTCATAGCAGTATATACACTGTACCTTGATGGAGATCACAGCAGTATATACACTGTACCTTGAGGGAGGTCATAGCAGTATTACACTATACCTTTAGGTAGGTCATAGCAGTATATACACAGTACCTTGAGGGAGGTCACAGCAGTATATACACTGTACCTTGAGGGATGTCATAGCAGTATATACACTGTATCTTGAGAGAAGTCATAGCAGTATATACACTGTACCTTGAGAGAGATCACATCAGTATATACACTGAACCTTGACGGAGGTCATAGCAGCATGTACACTGTACCTTGAGGGAGATCACAGCAGTATATACACTGTACCTCGAGGGAGATCACAGCAGTATATACACTGTACCTTTAGAGAGGCCACAGCAGTATATACAGTGTACCTTGAGGAAGGTAAATGGAGTATATACACTGTACCTTGAGGGAGAGGTCACAGAAGTATATACACTGTACCTTGAGAGAGGTCGCAGCAGTATATACACTGTACCTTGAGAGACGTCATAGCAGTATATACACTGTACCTTGAGACATGTCATAACAGTATATACACTTTACCTTGAGAGAGACCATAGCAGTACATATACACTGTACCTTGAAACATGTCATAACAGTATATACACTTTACCTTGAGAGAGACCATAGCAGTACATATACACTGTACCTTGAGGGAGGCCATAGCAGTATATGCACTGTACCTTGAGAGATGTTATAGCAGTATATACACTGTGCCTTGAGAGAGGTCATAGCTGTATATACACTGTACCTTGAGAGAGGTCATAGCAATATATACACTGTACCTTGAGAGAGGTCATGACCCAGGTTTGTGCCTGGGAGTCCCAGGTTATATCTGAGTGAAAGTAGCCAGCTAAGGCAGGTCGTCCTCCATCCTCGCCCTCCAACACGTACTGCCTGTTGAAGGGTGACGTGTCGCACGCTCCAGGGCCCCGGAGCTGGATGGTGGACCTGAGGGGGAACTCGCAGGCGACGCAGAAGGTGTAAGAGTCGAGGCAAGCGATGTCGGACCAACGGGCAGGAAATTCATCGTACACATAACAAGGCAATTCTCCGAGGTGCCCCCGTTGGGGCCCACGCCTCGCCAGGGGCCCTCCCACCTCACTGGCTCGCCAGAGAAGTACACCCACTGGCGCTCCTGCAGTTAGAATGCACACTGCCTTAGTAACTCGTAAAGATAACTTACTGACAAGCCAGTGCTGACACTAGCAAGTCAGGTTAGGTTAGGTAAGGTTCGTCAGGAAACAGGACAAATGTTTCCTGACGCGGGTCTTAGTCAGATGATGACCCGCCTTTAGAGCTTTTGATCATCTGACCGAGGCCTTCCGCTGGCTTACCGGTCCACCCCTTTAAAAATTATGGTCATTTATAACCATTGTGCTGACATTAGCAATTCAGTTCTGGAACTAGCTAATCAATGGTAACACTAGCAACTCAGTGGTGACAATAGCAACTCATTGCTGACACTAGGAACTCAGTGCTGGCTATTGCGACCCCTGAATGGGTCACACTGTATATAATGTTTATAACCTGTTCATATAATTTTATATTGCTTATATTTGCGATATTAGCTAAATCGTAAATATATTGCTTTATATTATTATTTGACTTAGTTATATTATTAGGTAGGATGTAACATTTATATATTATTCAGTGCTAATAGTTCGAGTGTTAAGTAGCTGACAACATTGTCTAACTACTGTAGTTTTCACTTCGCTTGTTTTGCTGCCGGCTTCTGTGTTGCTGGGTAGCAGCAGTCCACGGAGAGTCACGTGATCAGGGGGGGGTGATCACACCTCGCCTGGAGTGAGTGTCTCCCTGGCCTGCACTTTCTTGTCTGTTTGACGTACCTTCCAACAACACGGCCTCTCCAGCTCTCCATTGCTGGCCCTTGTTGGAAGATCGTCTCTGTCGCTTTCCTGTTGTTGGTTCTGTGTAACTCTGTTCACAGAACATAGCCTAGACTTAGTGATTTTCGACGTTGTACTGAGGTTGTGTGTCGCATAGACACTCTGAGAAACTCAGGTCCTGAGCTGTAGCTTCTGACCTACCTTGTACTGGTATCTGTGTACTGTCACAGTCGGGGATTTTCTTATGCTGAACTTAGATTCAGTAGTATGGGAGTTTTTTAACTTTTGTGGAGGATCTGCAAATGGTCCCTACTTAGTGTCGTTATATTATCTCCTTGTTCCTGATTCTGTGTCGCAGTTGCTTGTTACATTGCTGTTCGGCTTATCAGTCGTTTTATTGTTCAAGCAAGCTCTTCTGATTGCCAGTTGGTCAAGAAGTTAGTTTATGTGAGGACTTTTAATCAGTCACTGGTTAAGTCTAGTCGAGTCTTCAGACATAACGAACTACTTAGAGCACTTACACACACACACTCACACACACACAATCTTACTTGTATATATTTGTATTATGTTATTAAATGTTAACAATGTACCAGACGGTACTTAAAAGCCATAAAGACGTGATATGAACCTTCAGCACAATACTACTGTACACCAGAGAAGTGTAGGAACTTGTATCCTATATTATATTCAATTGATTACTTTAATTTACTTTGATATTACACGCCTAGACGACTTTATTGTTATTAATAAACTTATTAAATTTTAATTTCTTTAGTTAGTAGCCTACCAGTTGTAATCCTGAAGCACTATTGAATCTTACTAAATTCTAATGGATAATTGGACCAGGATACTGACTACTTGTTACGAAAACCCAGTAACAGGCTGGATGCTAGAAGGGCAGTCCTTTCTAGTATTCACTGGAGATCTCTATCATTATTAGATATCGCGTTTTTTGTAACACTGACACTAGCAACTCAGTGCTGACACTAGCAACTCTGCTGACACTAGCAACTCTGCTGACACTAGCAACTCTGCTGACACTAGCAAGTCAATACTGACACTAGCAACTTAATACTGACACTAGCAACTCAATGCTGACAGCAACTCAGTGCTGTCACTAGCAACTCATTGCTGACACTAACAAGTCAATACTGACACTAGCAAGTTAATACTGACACTAGCACCTCAGTGCTGACACTAGCAACTCAGTGCTGACACCAGGAACTCAGTGCTGACACTAGCAAGTTAGTGGTGACACTAGCAAGTCAGTGGTGACACTAGCAAGTCACTGGTGACACTAACAAGTCAGTGGTGACACTAGCAAGTCAGTGGTGACACTAGCAAGTCAAGGGGTGACACTAGAAAGTCAGTGGTGACACTAGCAAGTCAGGGGTGACCTAACAAGCCCATGGTTTGACACAAAAAAGTAAAGTGTGAAAACTAACAAGTCGGGTGACACTAAAAAGCCAAGTGGTGACACTAGCAAGTCAGTGGTGACACTAACAAGTCAGTGGTGACACTAGCAAGTCAGTGGTGACACTAACAAGTCAGTGGTGACACTAACAAGTCAGTGGTGACACTAACAAGCCAGTGGTGACACTAGAAAGTCAGGGGTGACACTAACAATCAGTGGTGACACTAGCAAATCAGTGGTGACACTAACAAGTCAGTGGTGAAAACTAACAAGTCAGTGGTGACACTAACAAGCCCAGGGGTACACTAGCAAGTCAGTGGGACACTAACAAGTCAGGGGTGGCACTAGCAAGTCAGTGGTGACACTAACAAGTCAGTGGTGACACTAACAAGCTAGTGGTGACACTAGCAAGTCAGTGGTGACACTAACAAGTCAGTGGTGACACTAGCAAGTCAGTGGTGACACTAACAAGTCAGTGGTGACACTAACAAGTCAGTGGTGACACTAGCAATCAGTGTGACACTAACAAGTCAGTGGTGACCCTAGCAAGTCAGTGGTGACACTAACAAGTCAGTGGTGACACTAACAATCAGGGGTGACCCTAGCAAGTCAGTGGTGACACTAGCAAGTCAGTGGTGACACTAGCAAGTCAGTGGTGACACTAGCAAGTCAGTGGTGACACTAACAAGTCAGTGGTGACACTAACAAGTCAGTGGTGACACTAACAAGTCAGTGGTGACACTAGCAAGTCAGTGGTGACACTAACAAGTCAGTGGTGACACTAGCAAATCAGTGGTGACACTAACAAGTCAGTGGTGACACTAACAAGTCAGTGGTGACACTAACAAGTCAGTGGTGACACTAACAAGTCAGTGGTGACACTAACAATTCAGTGGTGACACTAGCAAGCCAGTGGTGACACTAACAAGTCAGTGGTGACACTAGCAAGTCACTGGTGACACTAGCAAGTCACTGGTGACACTAACAAGTCATGGTGACACAAAGCAAGTCATTGGTGACACTAAAAAGTCAGTGGTGACACTAACAAGTCAGTGGTGACACTAACAATTCAGTGGTGACACTAGCAAGCCAGTGGTGACACTAACAAGTCAGTGGTGACACTAGCAAGTCAGTGGTGACACTAGCAAGTCACTGGTGACACTAACAAGTCAGTGGTGACACTAGCAAGTCAGTGGTGACACTAACAAGTCAGTGGTGACACTAGCAAGTCAGTGGTGACACTAACAATTCAGTGGTGACACTAGCAAGTCAGTGGTGACACTAGCAAGTCAGTGGTGACACTAACAATTCAGTGGTGACACTAGCAAGTCAGTGGTGACACTAACAATTCAGTGGTGACACTAGCAAGTCAGTGGTGACACTAACAATTCAGTGGTGACACTAGCAAGTCAGTGGTGACACTAACAATTCAGTGGTGACACTAGCAAGTCAGTGGTGACACTAACAAGGTAATACTGACACTACCTAGTCAGTGCTGACACTAGCAGGTAGAGCTTTATTGAGCGTTATAAAGCCTTATAAAGCTTTATCAAGCTCTACATGGCGCGAAACATCGTCTCAATAATACCTATAATTACCACACATTATAATTATATACATTATAATTATAGATTCACTGTACACACACAGGGGTCACACACACAGGGGTCACACACACAGAGGTCACACACACAGGTGTCACACACACAGAGGTCACACACACAGGTGTCACACACACAGAGGTCACACACACAGAGGTCACACACACAGGGGTCACACAGAGGTCACACACACAGGTGTCACACACACAGGGGTCACACACACAGAGGTCACACACACAGGGGTCACACACACACAGAGGTCACACACAGGTGTCACACACAAGAGGTCACCACACCAGAGGTCACACACACAGGGGTCACACACACCGGGGTTTCACACACACAGGTGTCACACACACAGGGGTCACACACACAGAGGTCACACAAAACAGGGTCCACACACAGAGGTCACACACACGGGTGTCACACACACAGGGGTCACACACACAGGATCAAAAAAAGGGCCCACTCACACAGAGGTCACACACACAGGGGTCACACACACAGAGGTCACACACACAGGTGTCACACACACAGGGGTCACACACACAGAGGTCACACACACAGGGGTCACACACACAGAGGTCACACACACAGGTGTCACACACACAGGGGTCACACACACAGAGGTCACACACACAGGGGTCACACACACAGAGGTCACACACACAGGGTCACACACCCCGGGGGTCACACCACAGGGTCACACACACAGGGTCACACACACAGGGGTCACACACACAGGGGTACACACACGGGGGTCACACACACAGGGTCCACACACAGGGTCACACACACAGAGGTCACACACACAGGTGTCACACACACAGAGGTCACACACACAGGTGTCACACACACAGAGGTCACACACACGGGTCACACACACAGGGGTCACACACACAGGGGTCACACACACAGGGGTCACACACACACAGGAGTCACACAGGGGTCACACACACAGGGGTCACACAACTCTTATGTGCCATTGGAGATCATCTGGTATGATCCAGGGAAGGACAGGGTACCTCCAGTCCCTTGTATCAAGATCCCTAAAACCTACATGAAGGTAACGAGGAGAGACTTTTGATGCAGGCGAAATTCCTTCATAAAATGCTGTTTAGAGAGTAAGTTAGACTAAAGTTCTAGGTACCTGAGGGTCATCTCTGGCACCCAGCCAGAGGTAGGCAGCACCGTGTCTTCCTGAACAGAAAGCAGCTTGTTCAGCTGTGGTCTGATACAACCAGCTGTTCTCCTCTCTTGAGACTGGTACACCCACCTGTCCGCCCACCACCTGTGTGAGAGAGATGGTTAGTCAATCCTACCTGTTGCTCCACCTACCTCTAAGTGTTCGGTCATGTAGAAGGCATGGAGAAGGGATGGACAAGTGATATAGTGTTTGTAAATATCCCCCGTTTGCCAATTGTTAAGCATTTCAAATTTTTTTTCATTGTTCACTGTATGTGGCAGAATTTGATGAAATATCTGGGTTGGGTTTGATTGGTGTCGTGGGTACGGGAGTAAATTCTTGGGTAGTGGCCTTGTATGAGACAGTAGGCCTTCTGCAGTGTTCCTATAATCTTATGTTCTTATGTCTGGGGAGTGACCATCCAGCTTCGGCTAGGTGTGTATCTCTGGGATGGAAGGAAGGGGCGAGGGAGGTTTTTAAATGGGTGTGTTGTAACATCTACCAGTCATGTGTTGAACGTGTTAAATGAGAGTGAGTAGTCACATGTGAGGAAGGTGACAGTTAGAGTGCGATATACAGTGCCTGTACTCTGAATGATGGGTGAAGGTTGTAAATACAGTGCCTGTAATCTTGAATGATGGGTGAAGGTTGTAAATACAGTGCCTGTACTCTAAATGATGGTGAAGGTTGAAAATACAGTGCCTGTAATCTTGAATGATGGGTGAAGGTTGTAAATACAGTGCCTGTACTCTGAATGATGGGTGAAGGTTGTAAATACAGTGCCTGTAATCTTGAATGATGGGTGAAGGGTTTGAAAATACAGTACCTGTACTCTGAATGATGAGTGAAGGTTTAAATACAGTCCCTGTACTCTGAATGATGAGTGAAGGTTTAAATACAGGGGCCTGTCTCTGAATATAGTGAAGGTTGTAAATACAGTACCTGTACTCTGAATGATGAGTGAAGGTTGTAAATTTACAGTGCCTGTACTCTGAATGATGGTAAAGGGTTTGTAAATACAGTGTGTACTCTTAATGATGGTGAAGGTTGTAATACAGTGCCTGTACTCTTGAATGTGGGTAAGGTTTAAATACAGGCTGTACTCTGAATGATGGTGAAGGTTGTAAATACATTTCCTGTATTTCTGAATGATGGGTAAAGGGTTTGTAAATACAGTGCCTGTACTCTGAATGATGAGTGAAGTTGAAAATTACAGTACCTGAAACTCTGAATGATGATTGAAGGTTGTAAATACAGTGCCTGTACTCTGAATGATGGGTGAAGGTTGTAAATACAGTGCCTGTACTCTGAATGATGAGTGAAGGTTGTAAATACAGTACCTGTACTCTGAATGATGAGTGAAGTTGTAAATACAGTGCCTGTACTCTAATGATGAGTGAAGGTTGTAAAAAACAGTGCCTGTACTCTTGAATGATGAGTGAAGGTTGTAAATACAGTGCCTGTACTCTTGAATGATGGGTGAAGGTTGTAAATACAGTACCTGAACTCTGAATGATGGGTGAAAGGTTTGTAAAAAACAGTGCCTGTACTCTGAATGATGGGTGAAGGTTGTAAATACAGTGCCTGTACTCTTGAATGATGAGTGAAGGTTGTAAATACAGTGCCTGTACTCTTGAATGATGGTGAGTTGTAAATACCGTGCCTGTACTCTTAAAATGATGGGTGAAGGTTGTAAATACAGTGCCTGTACTCTGAATGATGGGGGAAGGTTGTAAATACAGTGCCTGTACTCTGAATGATGAGTGAAGGTTGTAAATACAGTACCTGTACTCTGAATGATGAGTGAAGGTTGTAAATACAGTGCCTGTACTCTGAAGGATGGGTGAAGGTTGTAAATACATGCCTGTACTCTGAATTGATTGAAGGTTGTAAATAAAAGAAACCTTACTCTGAATGATGAGTGAAAGGTTGTAAATACAGTACCTGTACTCTGAATGATGAGTGAAGGTTGTAAATACAGTACCTGTACTCTGAATGATGAGTGAAGGTTGTAAATACAGTACCTGTACTCTGAATGATGAGTGAAGGTTGTAAATACAGTACCTGTACTCTGAATGATGAGTGAAGGTTGTAAATACAGTGCCTGTACTCTTGAATGATGGGTGAAGGTTGTAAATACAGTGCCTGTACTCTTGAATGATGGGTGAAGGTTGTAAATACAGTGCCTGTACTCTGAATGATGGGTGAAGGTTGTAAATACAGTACCTGTACTCTGAATGATGAGTGAAGGTTGTAAATACAGTGCCTGTACTCTGAAGGATGGGTGAAGGTTGTAAATACAGTGCCTGTACTCTGAATGATGAGTGAAGGTTGTAAATAAAGTACCTGTACTCTGAATGATGGGTGAAGGTTGTAAATACAGTGCCTGTACTCTGAAGGATGAGTGAAAATTGTACTTGTCCCTGATGTGTATCCTAGGTGAAGGGTCTGATCCTGGTGCCTATTTTAGGTGAGCATAAGCAGGTATGAGTACCAGGTCACCTACCTGGCACAGGTGCCTGGCCTGGGAGAGTGTTTTATCGGTGAGGGAAGAAGGGACCTCCTGGGGGAGTGGTCATCACCGCGTCCCTGGGACGACTAAACCCACGACACGCCACCCATGGTCTGCCACGACTGTCGCGACCAGCCCAACACGTCGCCCTCCACGTACAACACGCACGACGACAGCTGTATACATGGGTGATAGAGAGGCCTTTCACTTTGACGAAGCGTGCCGTTATCAGTTAAACATATATATAAATATATATATACATAAAAATATAATATATATATATATATAATATATATATATTTTAAATATATAATATAAATATATTTTATATATATAAATATATATATATATATATATATATATAAAACACTGATCTCTGGCTGGGGAAAACTCGAACCTACGAGGTTCGGTCTCCTTCACCCAGAGATCATGTTTGTGTATATTTCGCATGCTCTCGCGAATTCCTTGCATATTATATATATATATAATTATATAATATATATATATATATATAAAAGAGAGAGGAGAGAGAGAGAGAGAGAGAAAAGAGAGAGAGAGAGAGAAAGAGAGAGAGAGAAGAGAGAGGAGAGAGAGAGGGGAGAGAGAGAGAGAAGAGGGGAGAGAGAGAGAGAGAAGTAGAGAGAGAGAAGGAGAGAGAGAAGAGGTTGACCTTAGGCAGTTAAACCAACGCTAAGTTAAGGACTGACAGCTGGAAATTACCATGGGAATTACCGTCAACGGGAGACGGGATGAGTAGAATAAATAATAAACGAGAGACAAGAGGGAACGAAAATAAACGAACAACGGAAGAAAGGGAAGCGCCAAACGAAGCAAGAAATGCAAGGAAATCAAAAATATTCACAAACACAAACAGGACTGTTAACAGATTAAGAGATAAAACAGGATAGTTAACAGATTAACAGATAAAACAGGACTGTTAATAGATTAACAGATAAAACAGGACTGTTAACAGATTAAAAGATTAACACATTAATGGGATCCTGTAAACAGGAGTTGTAGGTCCTGTAAAAAAGAGGGTTACAGGTCATGAAGACAAGTTGTAAATCCTGTAAACAAATTACAGGTCTTGTAAACAGATTGTAAATCCTGTAAATCAGTTACAGGTTCTGTAAACAGGTTGTACGTCCAGTAAACAAGTTATAGGTCTTGTATGAAAGTTGTAAATCCTGTAAACGTGTTATAGGTCTTGTAAAGAGGTCATAGATGTTGTAAACAAGTTGTAAATCTTGCAAACAAGTTGTAAATCTTGTAAACAAGTTGTAAATCTTGCAAACAAGTTGTAAATCTTGTAAACAAGTTTGTAAATTTGTAAACAGTTGTAAATCTTGTAAACAAGTTGTAAATCTTGTAAACAAGTTGTAAATCTTGTAAACAAGTTGTAAATCTTGTAAACAAGTTGTAAATCTTGTAAACAAGTTGTAAATCTTGCAAACAAGTTGTAAATCTTGTAAACAAGTTGTAAATCTTGTAAACAAGTTGTAAATCTTGCAAACAAGTTGTAAATCTTGTAAACAAGTTTTTTAAATCTTGTAAACAAGTTGTAAATCTTGTAAACAAGTTGTAAATCTTGTAAACAAGTTGTAAATCTTGCAAACAAGTTGTAAATCTTGTAAACAAGTTGTAAATATTGCAAACAAGTTGTAAATCTTGTAAACAAGTTGTAAATCTTGTAAACAAGTTGTAAATCTTGCAAACAAGCTGTAAATCTTAAAACAAGTTTTAAAATATTGCAAACAAGTTGTAAATCTTGTAAACAAGTTGTAAATCTTGTAAACAAGTTGTAAATCTTGCAAACAAGCTGTAAATCTTGTAAACAAGTTGTAAATATTGCAAACAAGTTGTAAATCTTGTAAACAAGTTGTAAATCTTGTAAACACTTTATTGGCCATGTAAGCAAGTTGTAAACTGCACTGACCTGACAGTCTCACTCACCTGACTGACAGTCTCACTCACCTGACTGACAGTCTCACTCACCTGACTGACAGTCTCACTCACCTGACTGACAGTCTCACTCACCTGACTGACATTCCATCACTGACTAACAGCCTCACTCACCTGACTGACAGTCTCACTCACCTGACTGACAGTCTCAATCACCTGACTTACAGTCCACTTACTACGACAATCTCACTCACCTGACTGACAGTTTCACTCACCTGACTGACACTCTCACTTACCTGACTGACAGTCTCACTCACCTGACGGACAGTCTCACTCACCTGACTGACAGTCTCACTCACCTGACTGACAGTCTCACTCACCTGACTGACAGTCTCACTCACCTGACTGACAGTCTCACTCACCTGACGGACAGTCTCACTCACCTGACTGACAGTCTCACTCACCTGACTGACAGTCCCACTCACCCCGACGGGCAGTCTCACTCACCTGACTGACAGTCCTCACTCACCTGAACTGACAGTCCTCACTCACCTGACTGACATCTCACTCCCCCTGAAAGGGCAGTCTCAAATCCCCCTGACTGACAGTCTCACTCACCTGACGGACAGTCTCACTCACCTGACTGACAGTCTCACTCACCTGACTGACAGTCTCACTCACCTGACTGACAGTCTCACTCACCTGACTGACAGTCTCACTCACCTGACTGACAGTCTCACTCACCTGACTGACAGTCTCACTCACCTGACGGACAGTCCCCACCTCACCTGACTGACAGTTTTCACTCCCCCTGACGACAGCTCACTCACCTGACGACAGCCTCACTCACCTGACGGACAGTCTCACTCACCTGACTGACAGTCTCACTCACCTGACGGACAGTCTCACTCACCTGACTGACAGTCTCACTCACCTGACTGACAGTTTCACTCACCTGACTGACACTCTCACTTACCTGACTGACAGTCTCACTCACCTGACGGACAGTCTCACTCACCTGACTGACAGTCTCACTCACCTGACGGACAGTCTCACTCACCTGACTGACAGTCTCACTCACCTGACTGACAGTCTCACTCACCTGACTGACAGTCTCACTCACCTGACTGGGCAGTTTCACTCACCTACGGGCAGTCTCACTTTACTCCCGACTGACAGTCCACTCACCTGACGGACAGTCTCACTCACCTGAAATGACAGTTTTCATCACCTGACTGACAGTCTCACTCACCTGACTGACAGTCCACTCACCTGACCCGACAGTCTCACTCACCTGACTGACAGTCTCACTCACCTGACTGACAGTCTCACTCACCTGACGGACAGTCTCACTCACCTGACTGACAGTCTCACTCACCTGACGGACAGTCTCACTCACCTGACTGACAGTCTCACTCACCTGACTGACAGTCTCACTCACCTTGACCCGACAGTCTCACTCACCTGACGGACAGTCCAACCACCTGACTGACAGTTTTCACTCACCTGACGGGCAGTCTCACTCACCTGACTGACAGTCCCCCACATCACCTGACTGACAGTTTCAAATCACCTGACTGAACTCTCACTTACCTGACTGACAGTCTCACTCACCTGACGGACAGTCTCACTCACCTGACTGACAGTCTCACTCACCTGACTGACAGTCTCACTCACCTGACTGACAACCTCACTCATCTGACTGACAGTCTCACTCACCTGACTGACAGTCTCACTCACCTGACTGACAGTCTCACTCACCTGACTGACAGTCTCACTCACCTGACTGACAGTCTCACTGTAGACAGCCTGTACTGTCTGCACAGACAGCCCATGCTGTCTGCCAGTTTAGTTCATATTTCGCGCTATGCTGGTGCTGCCACCTATACCTTGCCACTTCAGTATGCCCAGACTTGCCTCGCCCTCACTCACACAGCGGCCTGGCATCAACACACAAGTACTCCCAGCTCTCTCTCGCGGGCATGGCCCTGCCCGGGCCATGGGCACAAACACACAAGCCTGTGTAACCCAACACTAGTTATCAATAAAGTAAGAAGCCTCCGAAGACGTATATCATTTAACCACCCGCTACCAGAATACCAAACAAGCCCGTTATAAATGTGTCGAAAGTCTTCGAGAATTGTGAGTGGCGTCACAGTGACCCCACGCTACAGCGTCCCACGCTACAGTATCCCACGCTGTTTCTCAAGTCACGTGTTCAGCGTCACTTGTATGTTGCTGTTATTGTTCAGCTCAGCACAGCTGTTTCAGCAAGCCAGAGGTGAGTTTTGTGGTGATTTCTGCGTCCAGTGTGAGCTTCTCCACGTGTTTGTGGGTGGAGGAGGAGGAGGAATGGCTAGATGCTCGCCCTGCCATACACTCACCCACGCTCCTCGCCACCACACTACCATACACTCACCACTGGCCCACTCCCTCTGCTGTGTTTTTTCTGCTGTTTTCCATTTTGAAATTTATTGCCAGAACTGTGTATCCGAGTGGCCCCAGGCCACTCGAAGCTGCGTGGATCACATGCCACGTAGGGCACGACACCACGTGGATCGACACCACGGTGGGTGTGGGCGATGTCACGTGGGTCTACCAGCCACGTGAGTTACCAATGTCCCAAGCCACATGCTGTGGTCTGCTGCCGCATCACATTGACTCACCTCACGAGTCTGCCTGACGTCACCTCATGATGTCTCCCTGACGTCACCTCGAGATGTCTGCTGACGTCACAGCCTGCTGACTCACCTCGCGACATCACGCCTGACATCACATATGTCCACATCGAGTGTTTCTAGTAATTTAAATTTTGTATTGTCGAAAAAGATTGGGGAGAAAATATTGTCGTGTGTTAATTAATTCCTCTCAGTCAGTGTTCTCACATGTTAGTGTACCGTATGTACAGCGGTGTGTTTTAAAGTTTCCGGTGTCCATGAGGTCTGAGCCAGACCGAGTGGCACCACTGTGCTAAGTCACCCGTTTTGACCAGTGTGTTTGACAGCTGATTACTCAGCCCTGACGTACGAGCCCTCTTGTACAAAAACTTTTAACTCGCACTCGTGATGTTTCTGCAGAATCGTACCTCTACGATTCCCATCGAGATTTGTTTCAAATTCACCTCCAGAAACCCTTTAGAGGCAGTTATATGTAGAGAAACAAATCTGGGACGCTTAGACTAACCTCTGCTAAAAACTCCAACTGTCGAGAGATGACACCTGTGTCAGCCTCGTGTCACAACTTCAGTGAGCAGCCTGCACAAAGATGATGTCACTTTGACTGCTAGCTCTCTCACCCGCAGTCTGGTGTATGATGTTACACTCCCAGATTTTCGCCCAGTCGTCTCTGCCACGACTCGCTCCCAAAAACTCGCTCGACGCTCGCCGGCAGTGACAGCCCAGCGACAGTACCAGTTGAAAAAGTGTCCTCCTGAGTCGCTTGCCAGAAGTCCTGCCAGTTGCCGATTTTGTCGACGCCTCTCTCGAGGGCCACCACATGTCGTGCCCCAGGTGAGTGAAAACCTGCAGCGACTCCTCGATGTCTGCTTCAACCGTTCCAGAGGAGACCGTACCCTGTTACGTCACAGCTCAGCCGCAGCGATGTCTCCCGTGTTGCAGGTGTTGCAGTATCTGTCCAGACGCAGGAAGGGGTGCAGTGATGCCCATCGACGCTCACTGCCATGACCACGATGTTTTTTAGCACACCCCACATGTTTTTTCTTCCCTCCCTTAGGGAAATTTTTTTTCCATGTCCATATGTATATATAAGTTTTTATTTTGTGTTCTGTGCCCTGTTCCTACGAGAGAGAGAGACCGAGTTTCTTTTACCACCAGTATTGTCGCGTCGGGACGATGCGCGGTAGGTGGCCCCAGCGTATGTAGACAGCCTGTCTGTCTGCACAGACACCCATGCTGTCTCCCGCTTAGTTCATATTTCGCGCTAATGCTGGTGCTGCCACCTAGGCCTTGCCACTTCAGTATGCCCAGACTGCCTCGCCCTCACTCACACACGCGCTGGCATCAACACACAAGTACTCCCAGCTCTCTCTCGCGGCATGGCCCTGCCCGGCCCCTGGGCACAAAACACACAAGCCTGTGAAACCCCAAAACTAGTTATCAATAAAGTAAGAAGCCTCCGAAGACGTATATCATTTACCACCCGCACCAATACAAACAAGCCCGTTATATCACTCACGTTAAAACTACATTTCACTTTTGTTTTGACACTACTCAACCACTGACATTCCACTCACCCTGACTGACAGTCACACCCCCCCCCTGACTGACAGTCTCACTCATTGACTGACAGTCTCACTACCCTGACTGACAGCCTCACTCACCTGACTGACACCTCCCACCTACAAGCTCACTCATTGACTGACACCTCACTCACCTGCTGACAGCCTCATCACCCCAACTCTACTACAGCCTCACTCACCTGACTGACAGCCTCACCCACTGACCAGCCCACTCCCTGACTGACAGCCTCACTCACCTGACTGACAAGCCTCACCTCTCCTGACGACAGCCTCACTCACCTGACTGACAGCCTCCTCACTGACGACAGCCTCATCACCAGACTGAACAGCCTCACTCCCTGACTGACAGCCCCACCACCTGATTTACAGTTTTACTCACCTACGACCCCCTCACTCACCTGACTGACAGCCTCACTCACCTGACTGACAGCCTCACTCACCTGACTGACAGTTTCACTCACCTGACTGACAGCTTCACTCACCTGACTGACAGCCTCACTCACCCGATGACCCGCCTCACTCACGACCTTGGGCAGCCTCACTCACCTGACTGACAGTCTCACTCACCTGACTGACAGCCTCACTCACCTGACTGACAGCCTCACTCACCTGACTGACAGCCTCACTCACCTGACTGACAGCCTCACTCACCTGACTGACAGCCTCACTCCCTACTGACAGCCTCACCACCGACTGACAAACCTCACTCACCTGACTGACACCTCACTCACCTGACTGGGCAGCCTCACCTCCTGACTGACAGCCTCACTCACCTGATTGACAGTCATCACCTGACAGACAGCCTTTACTTCACCTGAATGAACAGCCTCACTCACCTGGGCTACAGCCCCACTCACCTGATGACAGTTTCACTCACCTGACGACATTCACTCACCTGAACTGACAGCCACACTCACCTGACTGACAGCCTCACTTACCTGACTGAAATCTCACTCACCTGACTGACAGTCTCACTCACCGACGACAGCCTCACCCCACCTGCTGACAGTCTCACTTACCTGACTGAGCTCACTCACCCTGACTGACAGTCCCCTCACTCACCTGACTGACATCTCACTCACCGGTTCTGACAGTCTCACTCACCTGATTGACGGTTTTACTCACCTGACAACAGCTCCCCTCACCTGACTGAGCCTCACTCACCTGACGGGCAGCTCACTTACTGACGACAGTCCCCACTCACCTGATGACAGTTCACTCACCTGACACAGCTTCACTCACCCCGACTGACAGCCTCCGACTCACCTGCTGACGGCTCACTCACTTGACTGACAGCCCCACTTTACCTCTATTACGTGACAGCTCACCACCTGACTGACAGTCTCAACTCACCTGATTGACAGTTTACTCACCTGACGACGCTTTACTCACCAGACTGACGCCTCACTCACCTGGCTGAATCTCACTCACCTACTGACAGCCTCACTCACCTGACTGACAGTCTCACTCACCTGATTGACAGTTTCACTCCCTCTGACAGACACTTCACTCACCTGACTGACAGCCCCCTCACCTGATGACAGCTTTTACTCAAACCCGACTGACAGCCTTTAACTCACCTGACTGAAAAGCCTCACTCACCTGATTTACAGTCACTCACCTGACTGACAGCTCACTCACCGACTGACAGCCTCACTCACTGACTGACTCCACTCACCGACTGACGCCTCCCTTACAGTTCACTTTCCCGTACTAAGCCTAAAATCCACTGAAGCCCCATGCCGGCTGCTTCCTCCGTCGACAGCCTCCGCCTGGGGTTACATCACTATACTAATACACCCCTTACAAAAATTCCCCAGAATATAATGGAATCCCCATGGGAACCTGTCCTGTAACCTGCTCACACACCATGTATTAAGGTAAAATACACCCCTTTAAAATAAATACACCCTGTAACAATTTAAAAAAACACCCATGTATAAATAAGAATACACCCATGTTTCAATAAGAATACACCCATGTATACAATAAGAATAACCCATGAAAAAATAAAATACACCCATGAAAAATTTAAGATACACCCTGTAACAATAAGAATACACCCTGATATAATAAAAATACACCCATTACAATAAGAATACACCCGTGTATACAAATTAAATAACCCCATGTATCAATAAGAATTTGACCATGATAAAATTAAGAATACACCCATGTATCAATAAGAATACACCCAGTATATAATAAAAATAACCCCTGTATACAATAAGAATACACCATGTAACAATAAGAATCACCATGTATCAATAAGATTAACCCATGGGATACAATTTAAAAATACACCCATGTATCAATAAAAATACACCCAGTATAAAATGAATCCCGCTACCATGAATCCCCGTTGCAAGGTCCCATTAAAAATGAATCCCATTTTAAAAAAGAATCCCCTTTGCAAATTACACCCATGGTAACACTAACCCAACCAGGACTGCCTCTCTCTTTTTTAAAAGCAAATGACCCTATAAAAACCCCTATTTGTTTGCCCATGGCCTCCTCCAAAAATGTGTTTAAACATTTAAATTCCCAAGCGGTACTTTGT